GACATAATTTTGGTTTTTATCATATTTTTTTTATTGGTAAACATGTGGGTAAAATTGAGATGTTTTATAAAACGTCACCTTATTTATTGTAAAAATGATATTTGTTGCATTTGGCTAAAATGCATCGTTCCGGAAAAATAAATCAAATAAGAACAGATACACCTTTTTTGCATTTTAGTCTAATTAAATTTGATATTTATGATAAATTTATAGTTATATTAAATTTATTTTACGATAACCTTCTTCTTACCTTCTTCAAATGTCAGCGTTCTAATGAGATATCGTCCTTAGAATGTAATTCCGCGAAATTTAGACGCCTATATCTCAATAGGCTTTTGAATAGAGGTAAATTCTTGTAAATCGTAAAAAGTTTCATAAAAACAGAAATTTAGTAAAATGAACTTTAATTAGATTAACACCTTTATTTAACCACGGCAAAGAAATAGAAGACTACCTATTTCAAATATCCTTAATCAAGCTACGCTGTAGATAGGAAATAAGTTTATATTTATCTTCGGCTATCTTGCCGAACTTTGAAATAAAAATAAAAGAAATATGTAAAAAAAGTTACCAGAATTATTTGAAAAGGAAAATTGAATTTGAATAAAGAACGCAACTTTTGGGAAGCAGAATTCGGTAAGTTGATTTAAATCGATTTATATTTATCCCAGGAAGCTACCCTTGAAGTATGGCACATTTTCTAGATAAGCCTTATAAATATTTTTTTAAACTTACCATTGTTTCCACAAAGCATTTGGATTTAGATGCTTTATTTGGTAAGTCTATACCATAATAAACCCTATTTTTGCTTCACGAATAATGTTATGTAATTTTGTACAAATACTTGCTTTTGTTAACGTAGAGATGCAAAATTTATCCATTAATTGATTTTTATTTAGTAAGTGACGATTTCGAATCACAGTGAAAAAAAAAATCGCAGCGGTTTGAACTCTTGAGGGTTTATTTGGGATACTTTGAGGTAAAAAAAAAAACTAAAATATCCTTAGTCTATTCATTATTTGTAAAGTTATCTCAAGTTTGACGAAAATCCTTATATACGGAATTTTTTACATTTTTTTTAAATCAAATTTCTTGCATCGAAAAAAATATATTTATCAAAAAACGGTGCAAACGTTTTATAGATAATATGTAGGTACTTTGAAGTTTTCAAAACCCTACTTAGATTTTCTTTACAATCATTAGTTCTTGAATAATTAAATATCAACGACGATAACAAAAAGCAATAGTTTGCTAAATCGTATGTGTATTATCTTTAACAAGTGTCGACAGCAAATTCAAAAGGAATTTTTGATGTTATTGAGAAACAATTTAGGATTTGTATTTACAAGTTACGGTTTTTGTAGGATTCTGTGAGTTGTGGAACTTCTTGGTCTCATTTATTAAGTAATTCTGTTATAAAATCAATTATGTAAGTATATGGCATAACATTTAGTGAAATAAGAAACATGTAATTAGGTTACGACCTGTTTGTTTCTTTAATAAATAAATAAATAAATAACTCAGTGACAAACCATCGTACATAGCATCTCAAATTAAAGAAGATGAATCAAACTAAAAGAGCTGATGGGTAATATGGGAAAAAAATATTGAAGCTGAAACTTTCTCCGCTGGATTTCTTGTGATTTCTTAAAGATGACCAACGATAACAATTTTTTACTTTCAGATCATGAAATTAGAAACTTCAAGCTTCAATTTGCTTTTTTATTGCTGTACGTCATTTTTCACATAAAAATTTAATATTTTTTTATTCTCTAATTTTTGTGACTAGTTTACATAATATCAGGGCGGTTTGGAAAACAAATTTACATCTGAAGGATTCCTTAGGTGTATAAATATTTCATCCTTGTTTATATAATTTTAACGTGCTAATAATTAATAGGTCATAAATTTGAGAGGGAAACATTTCTTTATATAGATACCTTTAAATGAAAGTGATGCTTTTTATTATTATTTACAACAAATAATACCCCATTATTGTTTAACTATGCATGGAAAATATATGTATTATTTTAATTTAAAAATACCTATTTTTTCAGAAAACTTGATCATATTATCAGTATAAGAACTATTTGTTTTGTTCAGATGTGTGTCTTTGCATGTAACTACAACATAACTTTTCCCTAAGCTGGTACGGAAAAATCAAACTTCCATTTCATAAGTCAAACAAAAAAATGTAGAACCTTCATAATGTACCTAATAAATATCGATCCATTTCAACTCCATTCATTATATTTCATTATCGGTACACTATACCTGAAATTCATTCCATTATAAACTTAAAAATAATAATAAGGTACAGGCGTATAAATCGAGGTATAAATGAAAAGAAAATTAGTAATATTTTCCTTGGGACACGGACAAATCGTTTTTTTATTGGAATTTTGCATTTCTGATAAATCTGGGTGTAGTATTTGGCTTTGATTTCGGATTGAAATAGATATTGCGGCAGTATAGATGATCTAGGGAGGGGACCATATCAATTTTGTTAACAGCATAATGCGAATAGGGTTTGGTCTTGTTTGATAAACTGTTTGGGTAGTTATTATTAGTCACTAGTAGCCGATACAAGCTATAGGATTGACTTGTGCCCTCTTAGTGAAAGTTTTGTAGATGATTTGTGATTTTTTAGAGGTAGGTATATAAATTAATCACTGTGTGAAATTATCTATTTCTGTCATAATTTCAGTTTGCTGCTTTATTTTTTGGGTATTTTGCCACCTGCGAAAAAAATTTTAACACAAGAGTTTATTTCACTAATTGTTATTTTTTTTTCACAGGTGGCTAAATATCTAAATAATGTCATTGTTTGTTCATATTAAATACAAATGTAGGAAAAATTATAATACAAACAGTAATAATGCTTAGTATTCATAATTAAACAACACAAACTATTTGCTACAATTAATAGACCCACCTATTGTTACTACTATTACTATTTGAAAATTCCGGCATCAACAACATTGCCATCTTTCTTTATTTTAAATGTAATTTAAATACAACTATTTCTTAAATAGATTCTTTATATGCACTTTGAATTTTTCTAGCAACAAAAGCAAGAATATATTCTTGTAAACATTTTTTTTTGGTTTATCATAATAATGAGCAGCCCGAAACTACGCTCCTGTATAAGAAAATCTGTAGCGTTAATAGACATTTGAGAACAATCAGAAACTAAACTGTCTTTTTGTGATTTAACATTTTTTTTTAACTTTTAACATCTGCATTTTGAAAATAAAGTGTTTGTGTAAACAAAAAGCAAACATTCGGTTCAAGTTTTAGCAAACGTTATTGGTTTCTTAGAAAAATTCTGAGACATGTTACTTCAATCACTTCATTATTTGAGTTTGTTTGAAATAATCCTAAACTCAAATCATTGGTATACTGACTAATACGTTCAAAACGTAATTTCAGAAAATATTATTTGTATTTTAGAAACATGAAACCTATTTCAGAAATTTAATATTTTTTGTATTGTAATTAATTCCACATACACAGCTACTATGAACATACATATATTTTTGTATTCTATAAATCCTTATTAATAAAATAATAAAGATCATTTTACTTATCATTTACAACTGGCACTATTTGGAATACATCTGGAAAATGTGTTGATATTGCGGGAGGAATTTAATGCTGGTCGGAGCTTTAAACCGCAGGGTAGTTGTTCCACATAATACTATTAGTTAAAAAAGTAACTTCATCTCTCAACAATGGCCATTATAACAAAATTTTTAAATTTAAAAACGTGGTTACCGAGGAGTAAGGAGTAAGTTTAAACATGTTCTGAAAAGATCTTTTGCTTGTGTCTTCGGTCCTGTACATAAAGTCAAAATCGATACTTATTTGGATTGTTTCGTCCTTCATTTGGTATATTAAAATGGGGAAAAGTTTTTTGAAATGCCGTCTATTTAAAGAAGTAAATAAAATAGATATGCATGCATACTGACAATAAACAAAAGGTACTGACTGCTTAAAAGCCATCAGTAGACAGTTATAAGAATTTGTTAAATAGGTTATCTGAAATATGCTTTTCTAATTCACTTTTGCAGATATTTAAGTCTTATTTAACCAACAGAAGCCAAAACATTATCTGAAATGCCATTAAATTAATTGAATTTACAACTCCTTTCGTATACCTCAGAGTTCCATTCTGGGATCACTATTATTTTATATATTTATTAATAGCACAACTAATATAATATTACATGTATTTATATTTTGCTCTATGCTCATTTGAAAATTGTCACCACTGCCAAAACCTTGGAAGATCGTAGACTACATCGGTATAATTTAGACCATTTATCCAAATTGCGATAAGAAGATAGATTATCACATCATCTACTTACAAATAATCTTTACTATTTTTAATTACTTACAATTAGCTAATATTTCCTTGTATGTCGAAACTTTTGCCGATGAAACACTTCGTGGTTTCATTGTAAGTACGAAGTATCCGCAATTGAGTCATTATTTAATGTCCCAATTATGATATATAAGGATAAATATGTTAAAAAATATTCAACAAAGATTTTGAAACTGCAGCATTTAAAAACCCATAGTGTTTATCCACCTGTGAGGTGCCCTTACTCTAGTCCTTTTTACTGATTTTCTATTTCTCCACTCACAAGTGATAAAATGAATATACTTACCAGATTTATTTCTTAAATTAGTCTTGGCAATAGTTTTGATTGTCCATCCATATTGGCTACTTCAGAAATCGCGAAAGAACTCATTACAAAATTCTCTTTTTGATTTATGAATAAGTACTGCAGCATAAACATTTTTATTTACCGCCTTGGTTTCTGTAGATTGACTCGTTTCAATTATTGTTTTTTTATTATTGTCGTGATTTCATTCCAATTTCCCATCAATTTCTTCTACAATTGGATGAAAATCTGTAGAAAAATATATTTTGAAATGAAAATAAAGAAAATGTTTGGAGCATATAAACAACATTCTCCCATTCTGTATTTCAGGTCAGCTCTAGGTAGTCCAGTTCATGACATCGATAGTCGATTGTCTCCTAGAGAGAATGGTAGAACTCACGCACCACAACCCCCGCCTTCCTCTGGTTCAGAATCATCAGGTTACTTCACTCCACCTCCAGAAACGGAACAGGCGTTTGTGAAGCTCGACACGGAGGAGCACGCCTCAGAATCTGAGGAAATAGCACCAGAAAACGACGATAATAACAACTCCCAAGACTGCACTGACTCCTTCAATAACAATTCACCAAATATATTCCTTAGACAAGACACTGTTCAGGTAATTTCAATTTTTTTAAGACTTGATGTATATACATTTAGTGTATTTGATCGTTACCATCTAAGTTATAGCCGCAAGTACTGTTTAACTTCTATAAGTCTTTAGAAATCGTGGTGGACATAAAAAGCTTTTTTCTTCAAACCGAATACAATAGTAATGTAAAGTGTTTAGGAGATTTTAAAATAGTTAAATAATACATAATCGACTTTGGGCCACCTAACATATACTTATTCTAATATGAACTGAAATATTCTTTTATTTAAGCACCTAAAAACTAGAACAGAACAATGCATATAATATCATAGGTGGTATTGATTTGATTATATTTTTTCTTCCAGAGAAACTTTTCACCAAGTTCCGTCGAAACCAGTGATCTTATCCCATGCGATAAAGAATCCACATTAGAAGTAGATTTGATAGAAAAGCAGGATGCGGAACCCAATAATAACTCAGAGAGAGAAGAACGAAGATTGCTTAGGTTTAGTTCGTCGAGTTTGAAGGAACCTTCCTTCACTGGAAAAATACCCTCAACCACTGACAACCGGAGGAAGAGTAAATCTGTGGTGGACTTACAAAGCTTTTTACCCGACATCAGCGCAAACAGAAAGACTGTGAACTCGGCTCCTGCGCTGAACGAAGATCTTATGGGAAACAACAATGTTGTGGTAACCAATATAGAAGTTTCACCTGCATCACCAGTAAAAGCGATGCTACCTGTCGCTGCAGAACCTACTGAACCAATCCTGAAATTGGAATCTCCCAAAGAAGGGACCTCTACAAGGAAACTGACAAAGCGTTTCGCGAGAACGCTTAGTAGAAAATCTGTTAAAGCCACCCCAAGAAGCGTGAGAGATACTACACCTATGAGCTCAAGACCTAGCAGCAAACCTAAAGAGGTCTTGCAACTGGCTTTAGCGCAGTTAAATAATAACGAATGGGAAATTACGATACAAGGGCTTCAGTCTTTGGGAAAACTCGCAAGACAGCACCCTGACACTATTGAATCCCAGATACATAATGTGTGTGTCTCTCTAGGGAGACAAATAAAGAACCTGCGATCGCAGGTGGCTAGGACTGCTTGTCACACAGCGTCCGAGATATTTATGTCATGTAAAAGAGGTTTGGATATTGTAAGTATATTTTTCAGTTTCTCAAGATTAATAAAAATTTAATGGAATATTTTTCAAAAGATTTGAATTTCTATTATTATTTAAGTATGTTGCTATTACACTTTTGACATGAACCAAGAAATTTGGTTCTGCATTAATTAAATGGGATTTCAAGATATCTTAGAAAATTGTAAACCTAAAAAAACCGATAGCATATATTCGGGTTAGGCTATAAATTCTAATTCAACTATCAGTTATTTGATATCTATCTGTTTTTAGGTTACATGTTGTTTTTTATGGCTGCTTTGGTGTATTATAGGATAAATTTAAAATGAAAACTGACCTACATATATGAACAGACACAGAATCGATTAGAAGTTTTTTTAATGAATCTCATTTTCTGTGAGAAACATATAAATAGTTCTATGATTATAAAGCGATTTTCCCTAGACAATTTTCTTTTTAAAAGTAGGTATATCGGTGTCACAAAAACATCATTTTTATAAGTCTAACATTTCGAAAGAAAGTTTATAAATATCAATTAACAATAAAAAAAAAATCAAATTAGGCACCATTTACGGCTTGTCAGTCTCTTAAGCAAATAAATTTTGTAAACTTTTTCAAATTGCTTCAAGAGAAACCTGACCTAGTTCTAACTACATTTTAAAAATTTTCTACAACATTCAGAAGGTGGTAATAGATTATGCCTATTAACATCCTTACAAGAAAAAATCTAGAGGCATTAAACCTGGTAATCCGGCTACCCCCTTTTTTGCTCCACGTCTTCCAATCTACAGGTTTGGAAAGACGTTAGATAAAAAGTCTTAACGGATACTGCGTGAGAGTCTTATAGGAATTATAGTTTCTCCTACATCTGGAGGAAAGCACAAAATATATTTGTTTATCGTTTAGAGTACTACCAAGCAGCAAATTATTTCGAACATTCAAGTACTGTTGTTAATTGATGCTTCTCTTTTATGTTGCCTTCAATTAAAATAATTTTTTCTGGAACTAAGGTCGCTGCTTTATTCTTAAGCCAGTCCCAGATACATCACAGTTATAGTAGAGTAGACATATTTGCAGGTAACCACAAGTGCAATTAAAACGTCAGCATTTGCAACTGGTCGAAGCTGTCGCAAATGTAGTAGATCATTTCATTGTTGCAAGACCACTGTACGAATACATAAATAATAATAGACTGAGTATATGGAAATGCTAGTCCAAGTAATCGCAACTACTTTGGCAAGCGACTCATGCTAATTTACTGACAACCAGCCGATGATCGGTGATAGCAAGTACAAGTGCAAATATTCCCTGTCATACATCGCAAGTGTGTCTACTTGCGAGTTTTTGTGATGTGTCTTGCGCCAGCTTTAGAAATAACATGTTGATATGGAAAAATCCCTTATCATTTCTAAGCACTGAGTAAAAGTCCTTTTAAAGGTTATAGATGTATTCAGAAAAGCAAGTCCTATCGAATGTTGGTGAATAAATTTAGGGTTCCTATGAAAAAATTAGTATCCCCTGATGATATATATTTGGCAAAGCTGGGGATAAGAGTGAACCTATAGCTCTTTTAGTTGTTTCGCTACCTACTGATCTCTTTGTAAATTAAACGTTCACAACGTTTTTGACAAGGTGTTCTATTTCCCCACTTGATCTTTAGTTTGCTTGTGGACCTTTGGAAGCCAATAAGGTTAAAATATTCATGAATTATTAAAATGTTATCATTGGGATGCTAGGTGCTCGATTTTCAGACGTCAGCACTTTCTCAACGTTCTTGGTTGGGTTGTTCTTGATCTTCATATAGACCGGATTCTGTAATAGGTTTTTCACTTTAAATATGTACTCTGTTGTATCCAAGATGACAGTTGCATTTCATTTGTTGGTCAAGAATACTACAATTTCTACATTTTCATTATTTTTTTCCTTTTATTTTTATTGCTTGGACTTGGACTTTTCAAAATGGATTCAGATTAGCAAGCATCTTTGTAGTGTCATCATCTACGAGTAGTTACACAGAAGCAAGATTAATGAGAACCTGAAACTTTTCTGGATTGGTCTCTAATATTTTTCCAAAAGCAGTTTCTTGGCATTTTCTTCTGTATATAAATAACACTTTCTCTGTAACCAGTCTGTCTATTAGGTTTGAGTTGTTACAATGTATTTCCTTTTCGTGCTAATACGACGAAGAACAGATGGGTCGTTTGTCGGTTGTCGCACCTATGACACACTGATGAGGACTAATAAGTCCGAAACTGGTCTGTGCCTGGTGGTGGTGACTGACAAACGATCCTAGCTGTTGCACTAGGTGTTGCGAGTATAATTCAACGCCGGTAGGAGCATATAGCTCTCGGAGTAGTTGTTTCTCGTAACACTGGCAACTCAAACATTGTGTTACGCCCTCTGTGGGTGGCAGTAGTGCAACAAAGTACCTGCAATATAACAGGTCGTTTTCTACTGTAGCCATTTGAATGGCACAGTTAGGAGTCCGCACGACAGATGGAGCCATTTGCTCTCCCGCGTACAATGTCTATTAGGTCCCTATCTAATTTATTGGCAAGCTGAGAATTACTTTTAAACGATTTGGACCAATGACCACAAGTCATGCATCGCTATTCACACGACAAATGTAAATACCAAAAGACTTAATCTCCAGTTTTAGAGCTTCTTCTGAAGAAAAGGTCGATATGAGTTTCGAGAGATTAAGAAGTGTAAAACAGCGATGTTGCAACCAATCCGGAAATTGTTCATCCAATATAAATTGTGCCTTGTTGCACTGTTAACGTAAGAAGAATAAAAAAGTTTCTGTTAAATTTATTTCAGGGTTTATATTAAGGTTGTGATTAGCGCCCCGATTGATATGCATAAAATGAATTACTTTTTGAAATTATCATCCTCGAAGAAAATTACTGAAATTTATAATCTTTTTGGTGCGATAATTCTCAACATACTACCAAAATTTAAAAATAATAATAATAATAATGTCTTTATTAGCAGGATACATATTATTTATAACAAAGATTTAGGCAACTTGGTGGGGCCGTTCGATTTTACTCGCTCTTCCAGGTAACCATCACAAGAATAAGTAATTGGAAATCAATAGTATAACAAAATATAACTAAAAACTAACGTAACTAAATAAAAACTAATACAACATACAACTAATGCAACCACATAATTCTTTGTGATAAAATGAATTATTGTTTTAGACGTTTGCGAAAAGATGATACAGTGGAGGCATTTTTAATATTAATATCGATTCTATTATACAGCTTTGCGGCATTGTAGGAAACAGATTTTGAATACTTGGCATAGCGTTGCCTCGGGACAGCATACAGATTCCGGAATCTTGTAGTGCGTCCATGAATAACATTACGTTTCACAAGCTTGTCATGTAAATATGCACGAGATTTGTTTTCATTGACTTTATAAATCAGGGAGGACAGACGTAGATAATAATGTTCACTTAATTTGAGCCATTGAGACTCTTGATAACATGGTGTTACATGGTCAAATTTTTTCAAACCAAATGAATACATTAAACAATTATTTTGTACTTTCTGCAGAGAATATTTGTCAGATTGTAACAAGCAAGCCAGTATACGGTAACACAATAAGTTAATGACGACATAGGTAACTAAGGTTTCACATAATTTCAATTTAATTTAATTTCTTTGCAAAGAGAGTCTTCATACATATAAAGTAACTTCAAATTTCCATAAGACTTTTTAACCAAATAGTTAACATGACTCTGAAACCTTAAGTTAACGTCTAGATATACATCCAGGTTTTTACAGTCATCTTGAGGTTTTATTATTTTATCATTTAAGAGTATCTGAAAATCAGGGTGCACTCTAATTGTTTGTCTGTGCTTACCAAATAAAATTAACTGTGTCTTTGCTTCACAGAGAATGAGTTTATGAGCAATACAAAAGTTAGACATTGACTTATCAGCATTAATTCTATCAACCGCATTATTATTTTCATTACTGGCAAATGAATGATAGATTTGCGTGTCATCCGCATGTTGATGTATCTGACAACTCTCTAAATAGGTATCCAAATCCATAGTATAAATAGAGAATAAAAGAGGACCTAAAATGCTTTCTTGGGGAACTCCTTTCCGAATAATTTTGAAATCAGAGTAGGTATTGACCAAAGCATACTACTCGTTGACGCCTGTCACATAAGTAATTTTTTAAAAATAAGGTTGGTACATTACCAGCGCCAAAGTATTTAAATTTTTGGATAAGTAAATCATGGTCTAAGGTATCAAATGCTTTACTTAGGTCGAGCAGAATTAAGCAAGTCTGGTCTCCTATAAGCTGTATGGTGTCTACGACGTGACGCAAAGCATTATGTCAATATGCTTGATATGAAGGTGTATGGAAAATTATAGAAAAAATAAGGAGCGTATGGAAATAGCATCTTGCTCACATTGAAAATTACATCATACATATTCTTATACCAAACTTACTGACGTGACGCACTGTCTCACGTCATACACAGTTTGCAGTGTATATAGAAAACCAATGATTTTATGGTTCAACTTCAAAATTCCTATCATTCTGATAATTTGGAGATCCAGTTTCAATAATTTTTGCATTTTTTTAGGAACTAGAGGAGATCGCAGGTCCTCTCTTACAACGTACTGCCGACACCAACAAATTTCTACGAGCGGACGCGAATGCAGCCCTAGATGTTATGTGTGCTCACCTACCCACCAACCGCGTGGTGACCGTCGTCACAGGTCGAGGCTGCACCCACCAGAACTGCATCGTGCGTTCAGCCTCCATTCGCCTCATTAACGACATGGTGAAGCGTTTTGGTGCCGATAAGGTGTTTCAGATGCAGAAGGAGATGAAGGACAAAATTCTGCTTGCCGGTGCAAATGCCTTGACGGATGGTAGTCTGGAAGCGAGGAGTTACGGCAAGGTGATGGTTTCACACTTAATAGGTCATCCTCAGTTTCACAGGTCGCTGTTGGACGCCGTGCCGCAAAGTACTCTAAGGCATATCGCGAAGACCCTGGGTACGATAAAGCCCCAGTTGACGTAGTATTGAGTAGAAAAAGTAAATTAATCAGTTGTTAATTATTGTATAGATGCAGTTTCATTGCAATGAAGTTAGCTCTATAACTCTATTGTTACAGTTGTATTCTTAAGAAAAATAACGTGCCTTCATAAATACCCGAGTTCCACGTGACCAGATTTGTTTTGGCGCTCAGTAAATTTGATTTTCTTAAGTTGGTGTTTCAGAAATTACACAGTTCTGCAAGGTTTTGCTCTAGAGCAGCTGAGGAACATTGCCGAAGTAATTTTTTGCGCAAAATCCGAAGCCCACCTCAAAATTGCTTCATCATGTCACGCTTCCGAGATATCCTAACCTAAAAGTGCGAGAAACGTCGTTTTTTGCTGCATTTGATCTTATATTACATCGCGAATTTTTTTTTTGTCTTAAAACGAGTCATGTCATCTAAAAGTAGAACGGATTCGGATTCTACGCAAAAAATTACCTTCGGAAATGACCCTCAGCTGCTCTAGAGCAAACACAACCACTTTTTTTGCAGACCCGTGTTATCAAGCAGAAACTACCAACTAGGACCCTATACAGCAGGAAAATTAAATTTCATAACTTTTGGAGCCTCCGTTATAAATAAATAGAATTGTGCGAAAACTATTGCACCTACAGCGCCCACTTTTGGCACACTTTTGAACTATGACAAAACCCTCAACTTGTCATAGGTTTTATAAAATTTTAACAATAAATGCGATAGTTATAAACAAATGAAAAAATGGGCACTTTTCTTGTTTTTTTGCAATAACTTTTTTGTTTATTAACCGATTTTAATTTAACCAGTCTCATTTTGTAGATAATTTTACTCGCTATAAGCTGCCTGAGAGTCACTGTTCGCTAAAATTGATGGGTTTCCCTGCAAAGTGAAAAAACTGTTTTCCTCACTTATTTGTTTAAATAGAAAAGTTAAATAATAAAAGTTTTTGACTCACGAGATGAGAGATGTCTTATATTATGTTCCTTTAGACAATTTTACAATAATCTCGCGGATAGGAGTTTTTTCGAGTAAAAATTTAATTTGCATGGTCTACTAGATGAAATGTCAATCCAGAGGCATCCGCATTAGTTGTTAAAAAATTAATAAAACACTGAAACATTTTGTATTTTATTAACATTATTTTCATTATCACTGAATGAAAGTGGATTACAAAAGAGCCTACATTTTTAAAGGTCAACCATCCTCAATAAAAAAATACTTTTTTACTTATATAATGAGACAAAAAATCAAACATTTTGCAGATTAAAGTTCAATGTTTTGAAGAGAATGTAATATGTACTCCACTGGATCATCATCTATATTTAGGGAATGTTGTGTTAATCATTGACTCCCTTGTAAGTTTGGTTGCCTAACAGTCGCTGTCACGTGGGACTGAAGGCACTGTATAATAAAGTATAGAGATACTACCCAAATTGATATTATATCTAATCGATAAGTAGTGCAGTGGGATGTTTATGAAAACATTTTCTGACTGTAGTTTATGTTCTACCTAGAAGATGTTTGTGGGATGTTTTATGAAAACACAATTTTCTGACTATAGTTTATGTCCTACCCTGAAGATGCTTTAAAAAACGAAACGACGTTCAGGAAATTTTATTCTCAATAACATCCTTTTGAACATGCTTAAACTTGTTAAAGAATAACTTTATATTTTCAGTGGCTAATTCCATTGCAAAGTAACTTTAAAAATTACGAGTAATGTTGCATTAGATAAACCGTCCAATTTTTAAAAATATACATCAAATTGCCTTCATATATGCAGGTCATAATAATCATCTAAGTAAATGAAGAATAACATTTTACTAAGAGTTAGTCTCTATTATTAGTGTTTTATTTAATTTTGTTTTGTAATTGTAAAAGTCTATTAGATACTAGAAAATGAAATTTATCTGTTGGTATATAAAATGTTTAAATTTGTAAGTGCTGTTAAATACTAAGGAAATAAAACTGAATTTTTAGATCTTTTGGATGACACCTACTTGTAACTACTTTATACTTCATACCTTATTTATGTAACTATCAAATAGTCATTTGTAAATATAAATTATTTAAAAGTATAATGCAGTCCATTTATCATTTCCTGCTTACTAGCAAACTTTCAAATAAAAGTTAGTTTTTATTTGGGAGTGTAAACACTTAATCTTGGAATATTGTATAAATAAAGTGATTTACTTGAGAGATATTTGAAACCAGTAATCACAATAAAGCCCCAGTTTTGTATCATTCTGGTTCTGGTGCACCTATAAAACATGATGCATCACAAAATATAACCAAACATTGTACTTATGGATGGATCATTTAGCATATTTATCAAAGCTATAGGGATGAGTTTACTCTCCAAAAGGGGCATTAGTTAGTAGCAAGTTCAAAAAGAGAATTTACATAAGTTATCACGTAGTACGTCATCATATTTTTTGTGAAGTCCGATTGTAAAAAAAATTTCGGCTGCATTGAACAGCATATTTATAAATAATAGTTATTGTATACTGTATTACAATTAATCAGTTTAATATAACAATAGTTTCTTCTTTTCTGAGTATACTGACAAAAGTAATAAAGTGTTTCTAATTTTGTATAACTCACTATCCTTTCAAAAGAAGGAAATTGCGGTGAGGGCATTTTTAACTTTGACACTGAAGCAGCGTTCGCGTATCTCACATAATGTCCTGCTAGATTGTTATCATGCAGTATACAATAGTTGTTACCGCGTGAATCGATTTTACTTTATGTGACTGGAACCGAGCACTGCTGTAAAATAGATGTAGAACGACAACCAAAGGAGGTTATCCTTAAAGCCGCAATGAAGGATCTATAGAGCAGGGTACTTTCACATTTACTTTTAATTCAGTAAGCAAAGGTTTTTTCCAGGAAAAATGTAGAAGTTTTTTCTTACCGGTTCTTTATGTTTTTTGGGTTGCCGAATCTGAATCTGAGGTTTGCCACCTCGCCAGGCGTCGGCTTCACAAGGAAAATTGCAAAAACCTCAAATTTTCGGCACTTTTCAGTTTTGTTAACTATAACTCGAAATCTGAGGATTTTTTGATTATAACTATGATATACCAATAGTAGACAAAATTTCCTACAAATATGTATGATAACTCTAAAGTCTGGATAATCCACAACGTCGTTAGATTGTGTTGAAAAAATGGCATTCCGCTTTCCGCTAAAAAAGTTGAAAACGTTATTCTAATTGCATACTAGTGCCCTACTATCAACTTCATACACCACTGAAATCAATTATTTTATGATTACCTGGTATGTCCGGGTTACATCTAAGGAATTGTCAAACATGAGTGGGTCCATATATGGTCAACGGGCCTCCTAGTTCAAACGAAATCGTACTACTCTTAATTCAAGGGGAAGATAGACGGTTTTGATAAAAAGAAACATATTTTTGAACAAGTTTGTATTTACACGAAAAAAGCAAAAATACCATAATTTAATAATTTCCATATTCATTCGTAGTCTTCATCTGCAGAATTATCACCTGAAACAACGAGAATGAAGACTTTAGATAACTGTAATAGAATACATGTCGTTCGTGTTCATTATGAACAAAATTTATTATGTCTTTGCACAAAAGAGTTTAATATTATCTTTGAAAAAGAGAAAACCGAAAATAAGACGAAGAAGAAGAGAATACCTGCATAAGGCTTTCTTTCTTTTTCTTTCTTTTTAGTCCTGTCCGGACAGTAGACTGATCGAACTCTTGAAGGATGGGCGTTGGTCTCTCCACTGGAAAAAAAATATTATTAGGTACCTATGACATTTTGAGCTGTGAAGGTATAATTCCTAATTTGCGATAAATATTAGATTAGAATAATAATTATTTGTAATAGTATAAATTGCCTCTCAGGTAGTGATGTGAATCAAGTTGCCTTTAATAACTTTCCATCCCCACTACTGAGGTGATGGAATATTCCCCTGCCTTTTCCTGGTTTCAAAAAATATACATTGGGGTATGTCAGGGTTCCAATCATAATGACCAGGAGGTATATATATACTCACCAACTACTGCAACAGTTTCGTGCTCTGGAGCAAAGGATTGAGCATCTTCACGGAAGACGACGAACTAATAAGAAAATGATTAAATAATTGTTTTTTTTTACTTTTTTTTCAAGTAAATACAAATTTGTATTGTATAAATATGTTTCCTCTTATCAAAACTTTCTATCTTGTGGATTATCCAGACTTTAGAGTTATTATACGTATTTGCTGCTTTAAAGATCCTCCTGAATATACCTCCTCCTGATATAGAGTATGGCCCAAAATTATCATTTGATAATTTTAGGATCGACACAAGATAAATCTTTCAGTTAGTTGAAATAAATTTGTTGTAACGTCGTCGATTTAGACTTCTTGACGTTTGGAGAGCGAATTTTATTACAAAGATAACTTTTCATTTGCACAGATCAGTAGATATCACATATCTTCGTTAGCAGTCATCAATGATTAAACAGTTTCTAACCTGATTTTGGCTTGAACTTATTTACGTTTCGATATCGGTTTCTTCTTCAGAAGAATCTGAAACAAGAGATTAAGTATTCTGGCCCATATATTTGTTATGTGTACTGGTCCTCGTCGTTCCGATGTTATGACGTTTCGTTATTTATTACGGATATGTCGTTTCCTCGTTCCAGTTCTAGGCCTTCGTTTCTTTTGGAATTATTCCGATTCTTTTCGGCTTCTATTATCTTGGTCAAAATGCTTCTCTCTAGAATTTAGATGTTTCTAAAGTCCATTGTGGATCCAGCATCTGCCCTGTGCTTACAAACTGCTAATTTCTCACCGTTGTTATCCTTTGGGTATCACCTGTGTCCTTTTAAACATCTTCCTGTTTGTGCGCTTGTACGAGTATATCGCTGGTCCAGCTGGTCTTGGGAAAGGATGACTACTCGTATATTGTTTCTTGAAAACAACAGTAGACGGCATTAATGTTTTGCTTCCTTAAATGAGGATCTATTTGATCTGTATATACTTGTATGTAGATAGCATAACCAATGCTGATCACGGTTAATATTTGGATGGTAGATTATCCAGGGAAGGCTCTTGATGCTCGTCCACCTTCTAGTCGCCTGTATATAAATTTTAGCGAACCAAAAAATGAAGGAATGTAGGTAAGATTGGTTGTTGCCGATATTCCTCATTTTCCTTGTTCTTGTAGGTCTATTGACTCGATATTTCTACTGGTATTTCCTTTAAATGCTGATCGCAAATCAGGAAGTTCTTCGTCCAGGTACTTTAGCCGGCATATGGTGCGAGCTCAATGTATTGAAGAGCATATACCGCATATACAGGGTGGCCAAATGAAAACGAAACAGAGCCATTTCAGGAACTGCGTCAACATTGTAGAAAAACGCTCAGACCCGTCGATTTTAGATTAAAGGGGGACATTCTTTGCTGGTATTTTTGACTCCGCCACTTTCACCCCCAAGCAAGGGTAAGCATCACCCCAAAATATTTAAATGGCATTGGGGGTTGAGTAATATTTCTTTTGAAAGCTCTTACAATTCTCTTTACAACAGACTTTAAATTTTATAATTCCGCCCAATACTTTGAAAAAAATTTACATTTTAAAATTTAAATTATGTTTAGTTGCTTACTTACTAC